AAGAAAGAAAGAAAGAAAGAAAGAAAGAAAGAAAGAAAGAAAGAAAGAAAGAAAGAAAGAAAGAAAGAAAGAAAGAAAGAAAGAAAGAAAGAAAGGTGGAGCGGAAGGGAAACTGAGTGACAGAGTGACAGCAATCAAAAGAAGGAGAGGGAGCGTTAGCAAGGGAGAAAGCTGGCCTCCTGTTCCCTGTCTCTCTGGCTCTGTGTCTGCAGTGCCAATCAAAGAAATGTCAGTGCATTAATCAGTTGTTTTATGAGGCTCCATTAGCCTATGCACCTCCTCCGCACTGGGCGAGAAGCAGGCGGAAAGCTTCCTCCACCTGGGAGAGAGAGACTGAAAGAGATCCACGGAGAAAATCCAAACAATCCATTTAGCACTCCAGAGCCAACAGTTATCTAAATGCAGAGTATTGATGAATGTGCTAATTCCAACATGTTCCTCAGAGAGGCAGATGCAAAACACCTGCACTGCAGCGGCAGCATATGATTACAGTTTGTTTTAAGGACTTTTAGCAGCTTAATAACAGGTAATAGTTTCAGGACCAGAGAAACCAAAATAAAAATTAATATCTGGCTGCTTGCAGATATATTCAGGCAGAGCAGCGACAGGTCACACCTTAATCAGCTGATTGCACATGAGATCAGGTCATTTAAAGCTCACGTGTGCAGCTCGGTAAGACAATAAACAGACACAGCAGCAATTACTGGACAGTTTAAGAAAGAGTTAAAGAAGCTGTGACACACAAACAGCCTTTAAAGTAGACAAAAAAAGTGTTGAAAGGCACAGAGGGGAGGAAGCAGAAAACAATATTCCAGCGTCATGTCTTCATAATGCTTCTCGTGCAGCATTTGATTGCAACCTAATCACTCTCGTGTTCAGTAATCCAACCTAGAAATCACATTACAGTTTCTATTACCGTAACGAGGAAACATTTAGCTGAATGTGTGTTTAACTAATGCATTTGTCGTTAATAGACGGCATGCTTCATTCATTCAACAAAACACCGCCTCTGAATGTAATCCAGAGCACCATTACAATCATTATGGGAATAATAGTTTAGCTGGAAATGCAATTTGTAGGAAACCGGGGGCCCAATTTCCCGTGGAAAAAGGTAATCCTTAAAATGACACAATTGGAGAAAAATACGTATCATTTGGTACCTTGGTGGCCCTCTCGGAGAGGTCGCCCTTTATAAATGTTTTTAGCTGAGGTAAGTCCATTGGTTTCATTGCTAATAATTGTGTGTTGTTGTTAAGCTTGATTGAAATCTCCATTTATTTATTTTTTAATTCAGAGACATCAAATCTTCTTATTGAATTCTTATATTTGATCTTAATAAAAATGCATCCACCATCCCATAATCCCCTTCTGCTTTTACTTCTACTTGACCTGTCCTCTTTGACAACTCCAAACCTTTATCTTAATAGATTTAACCATCGCCAAAAAATAAAACAACAAAATATCTTACTGGAAAAACAGTGGCTCAGTTTCCTGACAGATCATACAAATTTAGAAAACTTGACTTCAACTTTAAAGAACAATTTGACCCAATTTGGAAATCGTCGTTCTTATGATACCCGGCGTGCATTTAAAACAATAACATGACAAAATCACACGCCGAGAATCCCACCACTTTTGATACACACAACCCACCTCATCTCCTTCACTGTTTCTTTGATCTTTTATTCATCGGCAAATAAATAAATTAAAAAGGTGTGTGTGTGTATGCGTGTGCAAAAAAAAGTTTCAAAAAACCCCCAATGGGCCATGTTCATAGCAGCCTGTGGAGTGAATTTGTGGACGACTCTGGGGGGGGCGATTTGACAAGATGAACAAATATAAATCAGTTTTTAAAAAACACTTGTAGAGCAGTTTATGGTTGAGGCAGAGTGTTTAATATTTCAGGTATTTTTGATACTGAGCAGATACCTGGGTTGCAGACTGCAGAGAATACAGTGGATCTACTGTACATTAAATATTGATAATTTTATATAATATATATGACACATTTTTTAAAAAGCAATACTTTTGGCAGAGTGTAGATATAATAGTTATACATAGATATTAATAAAACAAGGGACAGTGTATTAGACCAGTATATATATTTATAGATCATTTATATATTAGTCTGTATAATAATAATAATATTTTCATCACATGAGTATGAATATATATTTTTTATGTCACTAACATTTGTTGCTTATTTGTTTGAAATACAGATCCATCCATTCGCTTCCGCTTATCATTTTCAGGGGTGCTGGAGCCTATCCCAGCTGTCATAGGGCGAGAGGCGGGGCACACCCTGGACAGGTCGCCAGTCTATTGCAGGGCCAACACACAGGGGCCGACAACCATTTGCACTCACATTCACACCCAGTGGCAATTTAGATTATCCAATTAACCTCTCCCCACAAGTTGCATGGAAACGGTGGGAGGAAGCCGGAGTACCCGGAGGGAACCCACGCAAACACGGGTAAAACATGCAAACTCCACACAGAAAGACCGCGGCCTGCGGCAACAGTGCTAACCACCGTGCCACCGTGCTGCAGACCTGAAATGCAGATCTGATTTTAATTCATATAAGAAATAATTTACAGTGAAATTCATGCTGTTACGATGTCATTATCTTTCTATTTTTGCCTCTGTATGCCACCACAGTGCACTTTTTTATTTTTTTTTATTTTAGGTCCTTATTTATTGCAGGGATTTATGAACTATTTAGGAATTACAACCACATTTATACACAGAAAAACAGAAGTAATTGGACAACTGACTAAAAAGTGGTCACCTGCTGAAGCCAGTTCTGGTATATTCTTAAAATGGCCTGTATTTATATAGCGCTTTACTAGTCCCTAAGGACCCCAAAGTGCTTTACACATCTAGTCATCCACACACACATTCACACACTGTTGATGGGAAGCTACATTGTAGCCACAGCCGCCCTGGGGCGCACTGACAGAGGCGACGGAGTAAAAAATAGACGAAGCTTCCAGCTCTGTAGAATGAAGCCAATGCTAGTCACAGTAAACCTGCACGCTTTTTCAAATCTCCCGGCAGTGATATCTGTAGTTTTCAAAAAAGACTTCTGGTCCTATACAAGTCAAGGTTACAAGTCAAGGACCTACCTGCATTTATATAATAATTCAGTCCTTTTACATTTTTGGTAACTGGTAAAAAACAATTGTGTATTACTGACTTAAAGATTTAAAGATCCAGTATCAGGGTGCTTGTAATGGAAAGATTAGTGAGTCACAACTATTTATATTTGTGCAGATGAGATCAGGGGTGGAAATCCAGGTAAAAATTAATCAGGAATGTTTTAATATTTCTGCAAATTTAATACCGCTGTGGTTTCTTGCTGTGCTCTCATTCCGCATGTGCGCTGCATCATGGAGAAAAAAAATGTTTTTTTAATGGAAAGTGTGATTTGTGTTCGGGAGCAGCTTTTTTTCTTTCTCTTTAACATCTTTGCTGCATTAAAGCGGCAAAGCTGCAACTCTAACGCTATATGTGGCTGAAAACACGAACTATGCAGTCAGGCGCAGAGACGACGGCTGCTGATCGTTGTTTTTCTCAGCTCTCGTTGTGGATTATCTTTCTATTGTGCGTGTTCTTCCTTTTCCTCTCAGCATGCGTCCTGTGTGTACTTCATACGATGCAGTTTCGGTTAATGTCGTGCTTGTGTGTCTCCCCTCCTCAGGCCTCCCTCCCCCTGCCGCCATTGCGAAGAGAAGTATGAGGACTAGAGGCAAGCAGAGACTTCTAAGCCAGCATACATCACATATACACCCAAATTCAAAACATAAACCTGTCGCATAGTGTACTATACTATGCTATGCTATGCTAGATACTATACTATATAGCATATTGTATACTATGGTAGAATACTAGCATATGGTTGTGAAAACAAACCAAGGCTTACAGAACTGTGACAAACCCCATCATAGTGTGTGAGCTTGAACAGCTTCATAGGGTAAAGTCTTATATAAGCGTCTGTCATATAAAATCTTACTGTTTGGATGTTAAACATGGCTAAAGTTACAGTTGATGACATCAGTCTAATTATTTGTAATCCCCATGAGCCAAAAGCTCAGGCGAGCTTCACACTGGTCTAAACCCTCTGTGTCACCTTGGTTTTTCAACTCTGGTCTCTACACGATATCAGTGGGAGTGGATATTCGAACACACAGCTCTGACTGTGAGGTCAAAAGTGCTTGAGATGGACAGCCAATCAGAAGAAAGCCCTCTTAAAGGGAGAAGAGCTAAAACAGCTTGTTTCCAAAGTCTAAGATCAGATAACTAAGATTATTTTTGAACTGTGAAAGCAAAGATACTCTATTAGAGTCCAAATAAATACAGGATAGTAATTAATCACTGGCCACTTTATTAGGTATAACTGTTGAACTGTTTGTTAATGCAAATATCTAATCAGCCAATCACATAGCGGTAATTCCATGCAAATTTAGGCACGTAGACACGGTCAAGACAACCTGGTGAAGTTTAAACTGAGCATCTGAACGTGGAAGAAAGCTGATTTTAAGTGACTTTGACTGTGGTACGGTTTTTGGTGCAGACAAATGCTTAGAAAGTGCTTAGTTTTGGTCACTTTCTGAGAGAAAGTTACTTTCCAGCGAAACTTTGATTTGCCGTTCTAGTTTAGATAAAACATTAAAATGAAAGGTTCTGTTGTTTAGTTATATACTATTCATTAGATCTTTATCTCTATTCTGCTTTGCTTTAGGTGGAGTTCGTCCAATAAAATCAAGCTCTGTTGGAGTCTCACCTCAGGAGAGCACTGAGTGGCTGGAAATGATGTGGGCATTTGCAGCCAGTCTGGTAGCTCCTGATGAGGAGGAGGAAGGTATTCATCATCTAACCGAAAGCCTCACATGTAAGAAAACATCACCTGACATTAAATTAACCCTCAGTTGTTTGACCGTTATTAACAATTCATGCGATGCTCATCCTGCCTAACGTTTTATCAAGGGCTTAGCTTTTGCAGTAGCTGACTAAGAGGGTTATGATGAATAGACAAAGTGTGCACACATGCCGCTGAGGGCAATTTAAAACTGCATTTAAAACATTTACCGTAGATTCAAAAATAACTAAAAGTCATTCTGATTCACACTGATGGCAGCAGAAAGATGTGCTACAGTTCAAGGCCAATCAAAAGGCAAACAATCATTCCTTTATGCACCCAGTCTTAAACTGATTGCTGGGTAATGTCAGCCATTTATTTTCATGCATGTAAAGGAAAGTTTGTCGTATGTGTCGCTCACCATCTGGCAATATTTAACATTAATATTTTTATGAACTCTGTTTCTTGCGTATCAGCTTTCCACTCAGAGGAACTCTGAAGGGCAGGAAGTGGAAAAGGACCAGAGCTGGAGGAGAGAGGACAGAAAGGTTGAGACGGCTGTTACAGTGTTGCACATTAAATCGCAGTAATGTTTTTTCTGTCTGTTGTTGAGCGGTAACTGATGATTTAATTTGATGAATAAAAGATTCCAAATTGAAACCTTTGCGCTTTTTTTTTTCTGCTTGTAGTTACTGGACTTTTGTGATTTGCTCTAAAATAGGTAGATTGTTTTTTAATCAAATTTTAGGCACATTACATCTTCCCCGTGTTACCATGGAGACATAAAATGACAAAATGTAAGGTAATGAAATGAAACACTCCTGGCTTCCACCTCCACCATTGCAACATCCAAAAAAGGAATTTATTGCTCTTTAACAAAAGACAGTCACCTCTCATGCGTCGAGCATTACAACAGCTCATGAGTGTCTCTGCCTTTGATTTTATGCCTTGACACGAGCACCCATAAGTCTGGCCCTTTTACCAGGACTCGTGAGTTGGAGCACGTCTTTCCAAATGCTTGTTGTCTAGAGAACAACACCCCTGGGGCAACAACTGCCTCAGCCAATCAATGCTTATGATTTCCTTGCCCTTCTGCCAGTGCCAGCAAAACAAACAAGTAAAATGTCTGACCCTGGGCAAGATTGTCAAATCAGCACCCTGGGCACAAGCTCAGCAGTCCAAGCCACTTGGGACCTGTGTGAGTGGCACGTGAAAACCTTTTTAAGTGTTCATCCTCAAACACATAAGTATGTACTGTAGACTATGTTTGTGTTTTTTGTTTTTAATGCAGAAGCGCTCTGAAAAAAGGAAAGGAAGAGGAAAGATGGAGTTAATCAAAAGGATACCAAGAACCTCTTAAAAAGCAGAGGAGGAGAACAGGTTAAAGACAGATACATAAAGGAGAAAACAACTCAGTCATCCTTTTCCAAAACATCATGAAAAAAGCTCCAGCTGCTTCATTTACGTTTAATTTTACATTGTCATACACTTTAAGGGTAAAGCAGTACTGTGATGATTACTTTAGTTAGTTACTGGCTTAGTTTGATGGGTAATGGGTAAATACAACCTTAGGTCAACTACAAAACATGACATATTACAAAGTGAACAAACAAAGTACAAAGTGCTTCCATAGGATTTAAAAGGGTAAGTAACAGTCAAATGCTGCTAATCAGGTGCACTCAGCTAATCATTCAATACCAAGGAATAATTGTTCATCAGCAGCTTTGATCACCTCTATAAAAGCAGAGGTTTTGGTAGTTTGCCGGCCTGCAGCGTTCAGGTGTGTGTAAACACAATGCCAAGAAGGAAATGTATCAGCGATGATCCTAAGGAAGCACTCGGTGCCGCTCATCAATCCAGTAAAAATAGACGGCCATTTCCACATAATTTGAAGTCCATCATTCTACAGAGTGAGGAAAATTATTCAACAGTGTAAAATATTCAAGACAGTCGCCAGGCTCCCCAGGAGCGGACATTCTAGCAAATTCACTCCAAGGTCAGAGTGTGCAATGTTCAGAGAAATGCAAAAAAAAAAAAAAAAAACTAAACAAAAATAAAGTGGAAGCATTGCCAGGAGAAAGTTTCTTCTCTCTAATAAGAAAACAGCAGCAGGGCTTAGTGTTGCAAAACTGAATCTGAAAAAAACTAGACAAACTGTCCAAATGACACCTGGAACAACGTTCTTTGGACAGACAATACTAAGGTGGAGATGTCTGCTTATAATGCAGTTCTGAGAAAACCAAACTCAGCACATCAGCACAAATAGCTCACACTACCTGTCAGACATGGTGGTAGAGGGGTGATGATTTTGGCTTTTTTTTATGGTAAAAATGGTAAATGGCCTGTATTTGTATAGCGCGTTACTAGTCCCTAAGGACCCCAAAGCGCTGATACCAAGAACCTCTTAAAAAGCAGAGCAGAAG